AAAGGCCCCTCCTCCTGTTCTTGCTGTCCTTCCTCCTGCCCCGAGCTCGGCGCGGGAACGTGAAGCGACAGGGGGCTTTCCAGGTCTCGGCCTCTGGGGTGGGCCCTCGCTTGATGGGCAAGTTGTCCACCATCACTGCCATATGTAGGACGGGGGAGAGGGGAGGATGAGGAGGTCCTCCTCCTCCTCCTCCTCCTCCTCCTCCTCCTCCTTCTCCTCCTCCTCCTTCTCCTCCTCCTCCTCCTCCTCCTCCTCCTCCTCCACTCCGCATCCATCTCCTCCTCCTCCTCCTCATCTCCCTCCTCCTCCTCCTCATCTCCCTCCTCCTCCTCCTCCTCCTCCTCCTCCTCCTCCTCCTCCTCCTCCTCTCCTACCCATGGTTGTGGTGGTGGGAGATGAGCCCATCATCGCTTGGCCCATCATCGCTTGGCGCCACGCCTCTCGGGGTCGACTTTGATGACAAGCCGCGGCGTTGGAGATCGGGATTACCCTCCTGCGCCTGCCCCCTGTCACCTTCCCTTGCGGGTGTTGCGGGGCCGTGTCACCTGCGCTGCCTCGGTGCCGTGAGGCGGGGTGGTTGTGCTGCACTCTGCGTGCGTCTCTGAAGGAGCCTTGGGGTGCCCAAAACAATCAATACAGTCCTCCCTGTCACCATACACCATACTGGAATGATTCCTCCTCCTCCTCCTGCGCGATCCCCAGCCTCCACCGTTTGCGAAAAAAATGCTCCAGCACGTCCTGGTATTCGGAATGCTCCTGGTATTCATCGCGCTGGTGCTGTCTAGGTTTTTAAAACTGCACCTGTGACGGCTCAAGCAGCCACTGCTGCTACTGACTCTGGTGGCTCCTGCTGCGGACACTACTGCGGCGACTGCTACCGAATCGCCCACACATTCCAGTGCTACCACTGCTACCTCACTCACAGCTTTCACAGCCACTGCTGTATCTTCAACATTTCTTAGTGCTGATGAGGAGCACATGCCTGCCTCTCTTGTTCGGTTTCGTCAAAGATGGGAGCGTCCATAGAGGGGACCTCGCGCACCATTGCGAGAAGCACGTGCTCGGAGGAGGGCGGGGGCCAAGGAGCGTGTTGAGAGGAGGAGAGGGTGCCATGTACCATGATATCGCGGGAGATACCTAGAGGGCTGGAGATCCACCCCGATAATAAGCACCCCGACAACGCAACCGTGTAGTAGACGCACCCGACGAAGGACTCGAACAAACAGCGCTGTTTAGTAAAAGCACGGAGCCGTTTAGCAAACGCCGATTATGGGGGTCGGGGTGGATTTGTCCTCGTTCAATATACCGCGGCTTCGGGCATGACATCCACAACCCCTCAGGCATCACCCCCCTCTGGGACGCCCCCGACCTTCGCAACGACAGGAGGCGGGGGAAGGCAGCCGATGTCCGCCGACGGACGGCCGAGCGATGACCGCCGATGGCCGCCGAAGGCTTCTGCTGCCCGCCGGCGACCGCCGATGTCGCTGCAGCGACCTTGCAGACGTGCTGCAGCGGATGTTTGAGAGGATTTCTGTCAATGCAGAACCCCGAAAAGGCGAGTGAAACACGAAGCGAATCCCACCAGCCCTTTGGGCGTGAGTGGTTTAGAGAGCCCGCTCTGTCCTCAACCCCCCTTCTTCCCCTTCGGGGAGGAGTTTACCCCTCCCCCTACCCCCTCCCCCTGGACCTGGAGAGGGAGTCCCGAGCGTCGTCAGGGGAGTCTTCTTCGACGCCTGGGAGGGCCAAAAAACGACGACCCTCACGAGGATTCTGGCCCCGAGGGGGGGGAGGCAGTTTGGCGCCTCAGCTCGTCGCTGAAGCAACAAAAATTGATGTTACTACGGTTTTGGCTCCATTTTGGCCTTCTGAGTGGGCCGCGTTCCTCTTCCGTCTTAGCAAAATCATTGATTTTACGAAGGTTTTGGGCTCATTTTGTCCTTCTCAGGGGTCAGCGCTTATTTGCGCTTCTGAGGAGGTCGCAAGAGGCCCCAAGATAGCCCCAAGAGGCCCCCAGGAGTCTCCCAAGAGGCCTCCAGGAGGCCCCCAAGAGGCCCCCAAGAGGCCCCAAGAGGCCCCAAGAGGCTCCCAAGAGGCCCCCAAGAGGCCCCAAGAGGCTCCAAGAGGCCCCCAAGACGCCCCCAAGAGGCCCCCAAGAGGCCCCCAAGACGCCCCAAGAGCTCCAAGAGGCCCCCAACAGGCCCAACGAGGAGCCCGAACGACTCACACCAGGACGCGAGACCCCAACGACTCACACCACGAGGAGCCCGAACGAGTCACACTACAAGGAAGGACCCGAACGACTTACACCAAGACGAGGCGCCCGAACGACTCACACCACGAGGAGCCCGAACGACTCACACCACGACGCGGGCCCCGAACGACTCACACCACGAGGAGCCCGAACGAGTTACACCAGGAGGAGGGGACCGAACGACTCACACACAAGGAGGGGACTCACACCACGAGAAGCCCGACCGACGTACACACAATGAGGGGCCCGAAGGAGTCACACAAGGAAGGACGAGGGGCCCCAACGACTCATACCACGAAGAGCTGGAACGACTCACATATACCACGAGGAGCCCGAACGACTCACACCACGACGCGGGCCCCGAACGACTCACACCACGAGGAGCCCGAACAAGCCACACCAGGAGGAGGGGCCCGAACGACTCACACCAGGATGAGGGGCCCGAACAACTCACACCACGAGAAGCCCGAACGACTCACACCAGGACGAAGAGCCCGAACGACTCACACCACGAAGAGCCCGAACGACTCACACCAGGAAGAAGGGCCCAAACGACTCACACCAGGACGAGAAACCCCAAACGACTCAAGCCACGAGGAGCGCTTTCTCTCCCTCCTCCTCCGCCTCGTCCTTCTCCCGCTCCCATCACAAGGGGGATGTACAAAAAGGCGGGAGGAAGGAGGAACAGGGGAGATATGCGGGGGGAAGCGGACATACGCCTGAAAAACACGACTGTCGGCATGCTTCGCAAGAGTTGCTGTTTTGAGATGGGCTGGTGGGGATACGCGAAGCGTAAAGAATTTCGTGTTTTGATAATGAATCTCCATTCCTGGCCAAAAAAAAACCGCGCGACATTAACTTCGAAATCCGGAACGACATTCCAATACATCCATTACTGCATGAGGTCAGAGAGAGAGGCAGAGGAGCGGAGAGGCGGAACGAGGAGCAAGAAAACAAACGGCCCCTGACTCTGGTTTCACCTGTGGGCTCGAACAAACATGCAGCAGCTCTAGACTGGGACTGGGGACTGCGCCCATCCACTCGTTTTCCGAACAAAATCCGCTTTACGATGTTCGGGTCGGGCGAGGGGGGGGAATAGCAAAGGGGGGGGTTGAGAATCAGCTCACGTAGCTGATTTTCCCGGCGCCTCCCGGCGCCAGAGGCGGCTATGTATCGAGGAATGGGCCCCTCGGTGAGGCCGAAACCAACTGCATGCAACAAATTTCGTAACCCCCCCTTTCCAAATCCCCCCCTTCCGTCTGGCCCGATCTGCAATGTTGGCGCCCCAAGTCGACCAAAGGCCCAGCCTTCTCCTTTTCCTCCTCCTTCTCCTCCTTCTTCTCCTCCATCTCCTCCTCCTCCTCCTCCTCCTCCTCCTCCTCCTCCTCCTCCTCCTCCTCCTCCTCCTCCTCCTCCTCCTCTCCTACCTTTCCGAACAAAAAATCCGCTCTGCGATGTTGGCGCCCCGAGTCGAGCAAAGGCCCACCGAGGGCCGCCGGAGGCACCCGACGAGCCAGCGCGCCCGAGCCTCTGGGGAGCAGCGCCGCGGGCACCGCGGCCTGCGAGCACCGCCCGGCCCAGGACTTGGGCGACGGCGTTGGCGACGACCGGCGAGGACGACGACGACGACAATGTCGACGAGGAGGAGGAGGAGGAGGAGGAGGAGGAGGAGGAGGAGGAGGAGGAGGAGGAGGGGAAGGAGGATTTGTAGGATGGGAAGGAGGAGGAGGAGGAGGAGGAGGAGAGAGGAGGAGGAGGAGAGGAGGAGGAGGCGCAGGAGGAAGACGATGAGGAGGAGGAGGAGGAGGAGGAGGAGGAGTGAGGGAGGGTAGGCGGAGGAGGGGGAGGAGGAGGGGGAGGAGGGGAGGGAGGAGGGGGAGGAGGAAGGGGGAGGAGGAGGGGGAGCAAGGAGGAGGAGAGCGGGGAGAGGACGAAGACGACGACGACGACGACGAAGATAGAAGAGGAAAAAACGGCGCAAACACAAACGTTTGGCGTTCCGTGCGGATTTCTTGGATCTGCGCTGAACCCCTGGCGCGCGGAGCGCGCCAGAGGCGGCGCGGAAGGCGCCGCCGGGGGGCCCAGGCGCAGATCCAAGAAATCCGCACGGAGCGCTGAAAGTTGGTGTATGCCGTTTTTCTTCGAGAAGAACGACGACGACAGCAAGATAGCGGCGGCGGTGGCGACGACGACGACAGCGACGACCATCACCGATCGACGACAACGACGACGATCCGCGCCGACGACGGCGACCTACGACTGCCAGCGGCGGCGGCAGCGGCGCCGACGACGACCAGCGACAACGACCAGCGATGACGACAGCCAGCGGCCAGCGACGGCGACGACAACGTCGACGACGACGACCAGTAGCGACGACGACGACAACGACCAGCGACGACGACATCCAGCGGCGGCGACGACGGCGACGACGACCGGCGCGACGGCGACCAGCGGCCGCGGCAGGTCGAGAAGCGGCGAGTGAGTTGCGCAGAGCTGGGTGTTGCCAGAC